AAATTATTCCATAGTATTGGAGCCTTTTAAATATGTCCACAGAGTGCTTCAAAAAATATAATATAATGTGGACTGAAAATCCATGGCGGGAGATCAAGCGAAACATCCGACCCACGACGGGTGTGAAAAACACTGCTTTTCGCCGCGGCCTCTTTAAAAATTCATAAGTCCAGAACAAAAAATCCGACGAACTTGCGGTTTGTGTCGACTGCGGTTTCAGAAACGTCGCCATAACATATATTTTTTTCATCGAAATTAAAAATTCGACCCTTTTTGCCTGCACGATTTGAGATGAAACCACCCATATATATATATATATATATATATATATATATATATATATATATATATATATATATATATAGAACGGGCATGGTGGCGGGGGGCCGAAGGCGTGGGTATATATATATATATATATATATATATATATATACATACCGGGTGTTTTTTTATTCTTACAGATTTGTTTTAAACAAAGCCATGAAAGCTACACTTATACGGTTTGGGCAGGTGAGTTAGGCGGCCAGGGGGACATTATGTGGGTGGCTAATCTTCGCGATAAGTCGGCTAATTAATTAAAATTCACTAATTAACTTTTCAATTAGTGAAAATAGACATATGGTTCCAATCAGAAACCGCATAAGGACAGATATTCGCCAGTCTCGCACGCCAGTTCGACCGCCTCCATTCCCTTTCTCGTAAAAAAAAAAAAAAGAAGAAATGTAGCTCGCGCGCGCGTGGCCAGGCGACAAGCAACGCCTCGCTCATTTCGCCCCATTTTTCACGTTGCAACTCAAGAAGGTAGGACGAAGGAAAGGAAGGTCGGGGAGGAGGAAGCAGACGAAACTCTGGAGAAAGCAGGAGGTTTCGCCCTCTTGTCCCCAGCGTTTCGTCTGCTTCTCCCTCCCCAGCCTTCTTTTCCCTCGCCCTGCCTTCTTGAGTTGCAACGCAATATAACAAAGGAACATCCGGACACTTAGGTTGGAGGGTGACCTTCTTCCAAAACAAAACAAATACCATCAGATTTGTAGACATCCTCCTAACTCTGTACCTAAACTATAAGGGACGGAGTATTTACTGCATTAGTATGATTAATGATAGTGCGAGCCTCTTTTACTAACCGTTTGTGACCATCTCTCTCGGTTGAGATAACTGAGGTGGACTACCAAAGAGGTAAACAATTATTGCACTCAATAACATGCTGTGACAATTCTCAGGAGGGGTCCTTGTTCTTAACCCAACGTTTGTATTCGCTTAGTTGTTCATTGAGGTTACGCTTGGTTTGCCTTATGTAACAGAGGCCTCAATCAAAAGGAGCTCTGCAGGCACCCAACACACAATTGACATCCTTTTCTTTGCTGTTTTGTACATGAAGTTTTCGCGAAAACAGACAGTGTCGATTTGTTTAGCCTAAAATCATTAAAAAACACTGTGCCGGTACGGTAACGGTTCCCAACTGATTTAAGATTGTGGGAGATGCGATGGAATAAAGGACGAAGTACGCGTTAGGTGGGTTTGGGAGTCCCGACTCTTCTTCTTGAAGGAAAGAAGGAACGATAACTGTTCGAAAACAATCTTCCGGACAGCCAGCCGCACCACAACGGTCGAAAAGGCGTTGTGGCGAGGACTTAATGGGTTCCGGAGATGATTTCTTCAAAGCGCTCTTCGCGAAGTTTCGTACAACGTCAGGCTTCACATTTTTAGAAGAGCAGCGAGGCAGAGACAAATCCTGCCAATCGCGTCGAGGCAAATCCTGGTCGTTACGTCACGAAAGGAAACCATCAGAGGGTGCCACCGAATCTCCTCGGCGTTAATATACAGGGCATCTCTAGGGTCAGATCATAGCGTCTTCGAGTTCGTGGCCTCAATGGCGACGTCAATCTGAAGACGCCACGACGTTCACGTGACGTCATCACGGTGTTTTAGAAAGGTCAACTTTATTAGGTTACCACGGTTATGAAACTGTCCATAGATGCTGCTTGCCCCTGCAGTTCGCCCCCCTCACGCACCCCGATTCGCTTCCAGTCGTTCGACGCGCCGGACGGCTGCTATGTTAACTGCAGTGTATTCAATGCTTTGTTCCCGATAAAAGTATTTAAGTTACTATATACCTGCTTCGTAAAGTATTTAAAATACTATTCAAGTTACTTTCACTGTAAAGTAACTTGAGTAGAGCACAAATACTTAGAAATGTAATTCAATTACTTTTAAAGATACTTCGCATTGCGTAATTTGTATCAACGTCAGTGAGAAGCACAATCACACAGTTGGGCAATCTGGTTTACCAGAATGGTTCATTAGCACGCAAACACACAACGGCAAGAAAGAAAAAAAAATACATCGTAGGGATATTTTATGCAGTACAAATATAAGGAGCAGGATATCACTCATGTATGTTACAAAACATTTCTAGGTCAAAAAAGAAAGACGTCGCTTTAGATATTTGCAACCTCCACGATCTATAAGGGGCGCGTTGGTGCCTATCAAAATGGCCGTCATCTGGATGATCGTCGTAGAACAGAACTATAAGAGGCGGGGTCTGCGACGCATAATAAATTCTAGTTTTGCTTTATACGAGCAGTATTAGAACTTTACTTTTATTTTTTTTATTTTTTTCAGCCAGGAAGCACATGTTTCGTAAAGCCGATTATCCAGGAGATAAGGAGCGCGATTCTCACACCCCGGTACCACCGTCGCTGAAACTTGCGAATAGTGACATCGCTGAATATCACGTCGTGCGGCGCACCTTAGATGCATCGTTTAACTACAATCCACATTCTCTATAGAGGGAGAGAACTTTGGATACAGAAATTAGTTAATGGAAAACAAGGAGAGCCCACATAATAGCCACGGCACTGGTAACACCTTCTTTAAGTAGGTTGCGTTCAGAAAGGTTCTCAAGGTTGATGGAGGGGTGCTTTGTTAGGCCCGCTTCAGACGGAGCAATTTCACCCAGCAACTTGACGTCGCAACACCAGCAACACCGGCCGCCGGCGTTCACACGCAGCAACCGAATTGCTCCGACTTGCTATCATCATCATTAAATTTTATTCTTCTTTTACTATTTAGACGCCCAGCTACGCGCTAAAAACGCGTTCTTATATCTTTGAACGACGTTGAGAATACTAACTAATTTTTCTGAAACTGTTTATTTCTGAAAACGATCCATTCCAAACCAGAACTAAGTCTTTAGCTGTCATCATCACCACCACAGGGGTGTCACGTGAAAATATCGCGTCTTTGATTGGCTGCAGCCGCTTCAACGGTCTTCGAATTGCTCCGACTTGCTCGTCCGTTTCGAGCCGGACCCGATCTCAGCAATTCGTGTCGATCTAGGCAAAGCTAGGGAACAACCCGCCAGCAACCTCAAAATTGCTGGTAAAGTTGCCCCGTCTGAAGCGGGCCTTAGCATTTTTAGAGGTAATTGTGCTCGCAGTTTGTTTCCTGCTTATCAATGTTCGTTTAGAGACGGTGTTCGCGAAAGAAATAAGTGCCAATCTGAAGGAAAAACACACAAAAAAAAACAAAAAAACACGACGTTTTGCCCTAGTGGGGTTGAATATACCACAAGCAAAAAAATTAAAAAAAGACTTATTTCTGTGTTCACTTCTCATTTTCTTCTATCTGTTATTTTTTTTACACTAAAGTCAGCATTGTTCTCGAGGGTCGTTTCCCATTCTGCTTTGCGCCTCAGTGTGGCAATCTTTACTTCCGTAAAAGCACCCCTTTTGTTTGAGGAGTTTGTGGGGGAAACTCTAGGAAACAAAAGGCGCCTTTCGGAAGGCGAGGGGAAAAACCTTTATTGGTACGAACTTTGGGGTAAAATATGAGCCACAATCGGCACAAAAGCAATGTTTTCACGAGTTCAATCTAAGTCGCCGTAGCTTATATCGGAGCTAGCAACAGGATTTGGTTGCTAGAAAGAATGTTCACGTTTGCTCGTGCCACGCCCACGCCAGTTCATACCGAAAAACTTAGAAAATGGCGGGATGTCAAAAAAGTATTTGAGATAATGAGTACAATATACTCAGAAATGTAATTAAAGTACAGTATCTTGAGTAGAGTATTTGAGATAGGCACCAGCCTGCTGCTATGAAATACGTACTTTTCGAAACAGCGTCTAGATAACGTTTCACCGTACTCAATGAAACACATAGTTAAGAAACGAAAATCTAGATGGCGCTTCAAACGACGGGAGGCGGATTTAAGTCGGGGGGGGGGGGGGGGGATTCTCCTTTCCGCGGGAGTTCCACAACTGAAGTAATTCTGTAAATTTGAGAGATGTTCGCCATTACGTAACAACTTGAACGCCGTGATGACGTTAGTGTCAGAACCGACGTCACCTGACACGGTCGTCACATGGCATCAGTGATTAAGCAGAAAATGTGCATTATTGCGCAGACCAAGCCAGGTTTTGTTACACTTCAGCCGTCTGGTGGCCGTGTTCGAGGAACGGAGGCTAAGAGGGGAAATTGTATCCAAGAAATGCTCAAAGGGTTGATGGGATAAGAAGCGCTCGGCTCTAAATTATACATTCTGTTCTAGATTACAAATTACGTTCCCTACTAAATTTACACCTGCTGCAATATACGAACCTTCGGAAACGTTCCGTCACAGATATACATATTGTTCTACATTTTAAATCTTTTTTAGTTCTAGATTGAATCAGTCTAGAACTGAACAATCTTGTAATCTTGTATCAATTCAGTTCTAGATTTGAAATTATGTTCTAGACGAAAGTTTTACTTTTGATTCAAGTTACACATTCCACAGTACGAGCATACCGCAACGCTTCGTATTATAGGTAACAACGTTGCACAACATTTAAGCGAAAACGGGAACGACAAATTGTTTCTCATAACGCAATCACTACACTCATTTCTGTGAACAATGCAGGTCGAGGGCAAACAGGCCAAGCCACCTGGAAATTAGAAGAGCGGATGTCAGAAAGCTCATGCGTCAGGTAGGTTGCAGGTGCACATACACTGCTTTCTGGGGAAAAGAGCAGAGCCACGTCTTCGTCCCAGTGAGAGCGCATTGAATGAAAGAATTCCTAGTCGGGTGGTCCACTTCAAAGACGAGACTGTGATTGTGCGTGAGTATCAGCCTTTCTGAGCGTCCAATCTCTGCACCCAAACATGCGAGTTGTCCGTTGTAAAGAGCGAGAGAAACGTGCGCCGTACGCTCGACCGCTAAAAGCGGTACCGGGACAGAAGTTAGTTCTAGTAAGCGGTGGGAAGGGGACATATTAGGGAGTTTGAGTAGACCGTGTTTTCCCCTCCGCTAGCTCTCCGCTACGAAGAAACCGCCACTACGCCTGCGCGCCGATGGCCTTGGCTGTAGAGTTCCGAGTAGCGGAGGGGCTTAGCGGAGCGGGAAACACGGTCTACTAAAACTCGCTATTGATATCGGGAATACTATGTCACCCATTGAAGTCAACGGGAGTATGCAAGCCAGCTGGTCAAGTACATAATAACCCTGGGGCGTCTGGAGGGACTGTTATAGCTTGACAAGCTTCTATAGATACCCCCGCTCGCCATGATTGGTGACTTCCTCCTTTCCACTCGCCTCCTTTCCGGCGTTCTTTCAACTAAAGTGGAAAGAGTGGAGTACTTCGCAGGAGGGGCCCGAGCTGCAGTTCTTAGCTCGCATCAGGCTGCAGACAAACGCAAACACGGAGCTTCCTGTTTTTGTTTTTCCCGGTCCTACCTACGCTTGATGTTTACATTGATTACTCCTTGAGTGGGAACAAGTCGGTTCTGTAGTGTTGAAATAAGATAATAGATATAATAAAGACAATTAAAGACGTTTACAATTTTTTGCCACGCCGAATGAGATCGCAGCTCTTCAGGAGGAGGAGGGAAGAGTATGCCCCTCTTCTTTCCCCGCTAAATTTAGCTAGAAAATTTTACCTTCGTGAGGTCACACGTGACGCCGTGAGGTTAAATTTAGTGGGAATACTTTTCCGCCAAATTTAGCGGAGAAATTTCCCCGCTAAATTTTGCGGGAATATTACCAATGTTAGATGCGTGTGACGTCACACGTAACGTTTCTTGTAATGACGTCACACATGACGTCACGTGTGACGTCACGAGGGTAACGTCATTACGTTGCAATCGTGGCCCTCACAAAGGTTACCCTCACGAGGGTACCCCTCGTGAGGGTAATCCTCCTGACGCTCGTGAGGGTAACTCTCCTGACCCTCGTGAACGTAACCTCGTGAGGGTTACCCTCACGAGGGCCACGAGTTTTTCCCTCACAAGGGTCACGAGGGTTACCCTCACGAAGGTAACCTATGTGACGTCACGTGTGACGTCATTATGGGAAACATCCCATGATACAACGCGCGGTTACGCACGTGTGACGCCGGCTTGAGGGCGTCACACGTGCGCAGCCCTTAGGCGCCCTCAAGCCGTTTCCGGCTTGAGGGCGCCTAAGGGTTGCGCTCTAAAATGAACGGCGAAATTGGTGAACAGAATGACAAAGAGAAACGAGGCAAGCATAGCCCAGTTCGTCCTCAGTTTGCGCTGCCGGATGGCGAGTTTTCAACAAGAGGCTTAGATGCTTCGTTTCCTCCACGACGTTCTTTTAGGACGTTCTTTTAGCAAGTTTTTCCTACCAGCTTCGAGTAGATCTGGATTTCGAACACGTATTATCTAAAATGTAATGAAAATCTTGTCTGCCCATAGGTGTCTCTAACTGCTGTGAAGATTTCCAAGCATGGAGAGTAAGAGTCGAGCTCCTCTCGTACAACTCATTGATGGCATCAGACGGTCCCCCTTTATGAAGCCTTCTGTCGTCCGCGAGGCTCTCAAGTACAGACCACGCGACGGGGACATAGTCCTTTTGACGTACCCCAAGGGCGGGTCCCACTGGACGCAACGCATCATCCAACTTCTCTTAGATCGGGGAGACGGCGCATCAACTTACTCGGATTTCTTTCGACGAACTCCAGTTCTGGAATACCACGGTGCTGCGGTCGTCAATGATCTGCCTTCACCGAGGTTCTTCAGGACACATCTCCAGCTGCTCCGGAACAACTTCAACGACAAGGCGAAGTACGTGTATGTCGCTCGGAACCCATGGGACACGTGCGTGTCGCTCTACCATTATACGCGACGTGTACCCAAGTACAAGTTTGAAGACGGCACGTTCGACGACTTCTTTGAGGCCTTTGTTACTGGAGAGTTGTGCTTTGGAGAGTACTTCGATCACGTGCTCCATGGATACGCTCGGAAGGACGACCCGAACGTCTTCTTCATGACCTACGAGGAGCTGAAAGCAGATGCTCCCGGAATGGTTCTGAAACTTGCCTACTTCCTCGGCGAAGAGTACGGAAAGTTGCTTGAGGGCAGCGAAGAGATGTTTCAGGAGGTCTTGATGAAAAGCAGCTTCGAGTTCATGAGCCGTGTGCTCGAACCTCGAGAGAAGGAGTTTTCGACACTCGTTGAAAATTCGTCTTCTTTTGCGGACAAGATTTCCAGCTCCAGACAAGAAGGACGGGAAGAGAATGACTTCAGGCTTTTTCGTAAAGGAAAGGTGAACGACTGGCCGGAACTCTTTTCATCCGATCAAATCCAACGCATGGAAGCCAGGATTGATCAAATGACGGAAGGAACGGACCACATGAGCCTGTGGAACGTAAAATAAATCGTCATCTTACGTTATTTTTTTTTCCGTAGGGGCCTTTTTGATACTCTTCAATAGATAGATAAATAAACTATATTGAGCATTTAAGAGCTCGCTTTTTGGTGATCAGTTCTAGCTCTAATAATCGCACTACGCGAGTATCATGTTTTCCATTGCCCGTCGTCCAGTTGAATAAAACCACATACAACAGAAATGTTATCTGGGTTCATAACCTAGCTTCCAAAATACATATACTTCCATGACTGATTTTTTCTACGCTTCTCAACATACAAGAATGAGATGGTAATGGTCGGCGAGATTTTCAGAATCTTTTTTTTTTGTCACAGGTTTGCCAAGAACTGCGATGCATTCGTTTTTTAGGGTTCTTTGAATAGCGAATACCGGCAATAGCAACGCATGTTAAAACTATTCCTCAAGGACAAACACGAGAATATTGTTGTAAACGATGATTGAGGTGCACGAGCGCACACTCGTATATATCATGAACTCAAGAAACCTGGAGCTCGCTCTTGTAGCTCCTGTAAATGCTGGTTAAAACAGCCCCGTTTTCTTACATTACGTTGCGTTAAGGCCTGACCACACTAGCGACAACGGCGCCGCCGGTCGGTGCCGCTGGGCGGCACCGCCGTCCGGCGTCCCAAGGCAAGGAGGACGTTAGAATCACGTGACAGCACTGGCTCTCGCGATTGCAAGCGCGCTCCCCGCCGGATTTCCCGCTCTTTCGTCGCCTGCTCTTCGTTATATTCTACCATTTCGGCTCTGAACTTTTGCATGTAGCAGCATCGAAACCGCACTTTTGCATCTATTATGTCATGTATTATGTCATCAGGGTTCCAAAAATATATTTCAAATACCTTGCATAGAGTTGTATATGTGGGCTATTCTTGTAGTTCTATGTTTGGATTTGGCGGGTCAGTCTGCGAGCACCTGGCAATCCTGGCGACCAGCTGTGTCAATACGGCGAGGCCTTGTCGACGCCGGCGATGGAAACCCTCGTTTCTAACGTCTCGATCTGTATGCTGAAACTCGCTGAACATTCCTCAAAAAGGAAAAAGAAATTGAACCCATTGTTGGCGGCAGAGTCGCACCGCGTCGCCGAAAAATCAGGAACATTGCGGCAGAAGCTTGCGCTATAATCTCCCCATCAACATTTCTGTCTGATTAGGCGATAGGGCCCTTAAAACGCAGTGGACAAAGAGCTTTTGCATTACATTCAGGCTATCATGCGATCTACTCAAAGTACTGGCAGCTAAAGACATGCCGCTACCGCTAGAAGCAAGCATGCACACAAAAATGGACCCTTTTAACAAATTCAGTGTCATCTACTTGCTCAAATATCACTCTAAACATTTTTTTGCTAATGGGGGTCAAACATAGCAACTTAGGCATTGCTTAAGACACAAGCTACACTATCATCGTCTTTATCGGAAAGATGAATTATCAGATTGGTATAAAAATATAATCAGTGTAGTGCATTGGAAAAAAATATTTGAGCAAGATAAGCGAGAGCGCGTTTACATTACGAAGCAATCATTGAGGACACGGTCGGAGCACACGAAAGATAATGTTGCCACTATCACACTGTAAGACTGCGAACTTTTTAACCATATCCGGTTGATGTAACGAATCGTTTTGCCAAGCATTTTAGCTCTTGTTTCTATACTAACGATTGCTCGCTGCCATACTTGGATACAAACTGCACAGAATTTTTGTCTCTCGTTCCAATAGACGAAAGGGAAGTAATGGAGGCCATTAGAAAATTGGAACCGAAGTTATCTGCAGGAGCGGATGGTGAATTCCAAATTTTACAGTAAAGGGTTGTGCTCAACTACTTTGTCCAGCGTTGCTTCATATCTTTAATTTGTAAATTAAGTCTGGAATTTTTCCTGTCGCTTGTAAGTGATAAGTTGTAGTTCCGTTGCACAAATCGGGCGACCGACTTGTGCAATCATCGGCCTGTTTTTCTACTTTTATCAAAAGTTTTCGAAATTGTTTTGTATACTCGTCTTTATACATATTTTTCTCAGAAGATCATTTCAGAACAGCACGGTTTTATGAAAGGCCGAACTCTGGAGACCAATCTGTGCTCCTTCTTGAATCATGTCGTGTCATTTGTACATAGCCAAAGCTAAGCAGATGTGTACTTCGATATGACTAAAACATTCGATAAAGCAAATCATCAGCCACTTCTGAAAAAGCTCTGCAACCAATCTGGTGACCAGTTCAGCCAATCTGGTGACCAGTTAGGCCAATATGGTGACCAGTCAGGCCAATCTGGTGACGAGTAAGAAGGCAATCTGGTGACCAGTTAGATCAATATGGTTACTAGCTAGACCAGTCTGGCTACCGGTTGCACCAGTTTGACTCCCTGTGAAACCAGTCTGACCAGACCAAATACCAGATTGACCAGTCCAAATACCAGTTTGACCAGTCCAAACACCAGTCCGACCAGTAAGATTTTCAAACTGGTCTTTCCAATAGGGCGGGTCTGATCCAGAGGCTCGAATAGACAGGCAGAAGATAGCTATCTTGCTGCACGTCGCGGGACCTGAAGCTGTCGACGTCTTCAACACATTCACTCTCACAGAAGAACAAAGGGAAAGCTTCGAGGCGGTAGTTCACCCGTTCCAAGATTATTGTACTCCGAAAGCTAACGAGACATCGAACGCCACGTTTTTCGCAAGACGATCCAGATGGAAGGTCAGTCATTTGAAAACTTTTTGAGAGACGTTAAACTCAAAGTGCGCTCTCGTAATTTCGGCGACCTTTGATTTTCTTGTGAGAGATCAGATTGTCGATGGCATCAGAGATCACAAACTGCGGGAACGTCTGCTGAGGGAGGATGACCTGACCCTTGAGAAAGCAACGAGAATCTGCAAAGCTGGAGAGAATTCGTCGCAACAAGCGAGGATGTGGATGGATCAGTAACCGACACCGGTAGAACAAGTAGACGCCACGCAAAAGAGGGAAAAAAGTGCGTCACGTCTGCGATGTCGAAAGTGCAACCGATTTTACGCACCACGCAGATGCCCAGCATTCGGCAAGGTATGCAATTTGTGCGGAAAGAAACACCATTTCGAGATATGTTGTGACGCAAAGCCTCAAGATGAGCAAAGCAGACGGCGAGTGGAGGAAGTAGAGATACCGTCAGAAGATATCTTTGAGATACTCCAGGTCGGCGAGTCCGGGAAAATCGCAGAAAAAGACTGGTTGATCAAGGTAATGATTGAAGAGGTGCCTGTACAGTTCAAGGTAGAAACCGGCTCCCAAGTCAATCTTCTCCCGCTGTCACTCTTGCGAAGCGCCAACTCCAGGCGGCACCTAATACCAAGTCCGGCAGTGTTACAAAACTACAACGGCAACGCTATCGGCCACCTTGGAAAAGCCAGACTCGTGCTCAAGTTCCAAGAAAAAGTTGTTTCTGCCGAGTTTTTCGTCGTCAAGAAGAACAGGCGTGCACTTCTAGGATTGCCTACTTGTGAAGAGTTAGGCTTGGTGAACCGAGTGCAAGAGGTTGCCACCACCACGGATACTCAATCCCAAGTGCAGCGAGAATTTCTAGCACTGTTTAAGGCACAGGGAAAATCCAACGTCCAGACAGCATCTCTTTCAAGCAAGCCACAGTGAAGGCCGTCCAACCTGCCAGTAGGGTACCTCAGGCCCTCATGGAGCCGCTGAAGCAAGAACTGAGCCGCATGGAGCAGGTAGAAATTATCACAAGAATGAAGGAGCCCTCAGACTGGGTAAGCCCCCTAGTCTTGGTGAAAATGAAGAACGGCAGTTTAAGGGCATGCATGGACCCACGAAGAATCAATGAGTGTCTGAGACGTGAGCATTTCGAAATGCCAAGAAGGGAAGATATACAAGCTGAGCTTGCAAGCGCCACAGTGTTGTCGAAGCTTGATGCGCGGGCAGGCTTTTACCAAATCTCATTGACTGACGAAACATCGCGAGTTTGCACATTCGGCACCCTTTTTGGACAAAACCGATTTTTGAGGTTGCCTTTTGGATTGGCTTCCGAGCCAGAGGTATTCCAGCGTGCGATGTCTGAAATATTTGAAGGACTGGAGGGGGTACGTGTTTACATTTATGACGTGCAGGTCTGGGGAGCTACGCGACAGGAGCACGATGATGGGCTGCGATCAGCTCTGCAAGCTGCACACAGCGCAGGCCTGACGCAGAACTCAGAGAAATGCCAGTTTGGAGTTCCAGAAGTAATTTTCCTTGGGGATGTAGCGAGCAAAGAAGGTATCAGGCCTGATCCGAGTCTTTTAGAAAATATTGTGAAGATGGATGCACGCAAAAACAAGAAAGCTCTCCAGCGCATGCTTGGCGTTATAAATTACTTCTTCGCGAAGATGGCACGACACTGCATCCGGAATGGAACGCTCACGCATATTCCTGCTCCAGGTACTACTGGGGACCCTCTTCGGCGAAGGCGTGGACGCTGGACCGCTACGCACGGACATCACCGGTCTAAGGCCCGCCTGGCGCGGGAAAACTACGGCGGAAAAACATCGTATGCCACCAGACCTGGAGGATTTTCATCACTTCAGCTGGCAACATCGATCATCGACCACCGACGCCACCGCCACTACAGCTGGACTACAAAAGCGCGCCCACTTCGAGCTACCTTTGGGGCACGACACTGCATCCGGAATGGAACGCTCACGCATATTCCTGCTCCAGGTTAGTTATTTGGAGTTCGCTGCTTGCTATCGTTCGAGTGACTACTGTCTGTTAGCAGTGTCGTGCCCCGACCACTGGCTTGGACCTTCCCGGCGCGTTCGTTTTTGGTGTGAAGGCTTGTTGCCCGCTGGACTGAGGGGTATTATGTTGCTTATGTGCGGCGACGTGGAGGCCAATCCGGGGCCGGATGACCTGCCCGTAGTCTCCACTCTGAGCACTGACGTCATCTTGACAACGGTACTTGCCACAGTTCAAAGAATAGAACAAGGTCAAATTAGTATGCTCTCAGAAATGAAAGAACTCAAAGAGAA